ATTCTACAGTCAGTGGACTAGGTTCAGAATTAATCCAGGTCAGTATTTCAGTGTTCCCGAACACAATCTTTGCAACATCAAAGTTAACACCTACTGTAACAAATCAGAAGGGCTGCACAGCTGTTGAATAGTTAGGAAACCTGGCATAGTGCCCAGTAAACCTAATGTCTGCTCCAAAGTGCCCATGTCCATGTAAATTCAAGACAGCAATGCAGCTACTGTAAAGAATATGTTTCATCAGATAATGACTAAGAATTTCTTCTTAAAGTGAAAAAAAAAAAAAGACAGCCCAGTCACTCCCTAGAAGCACTACCAGCTGAATCCTAACGTTTAAAGAAAATATCGATCCCAGAAAAGTCATTAATCACTACACTCTCAAACGACCTTGGCCAGTGACCTTGATAAGGCTGAATTCTCCTACTGATAGTGGAATGAATTACTTACTCTGTACAGACACAGAACAGTACAATGCTTTGGAACAAAAACAAGGTGCAATTTAACCAGAAGATACTAAGGAACACAACCAGCCAAACAAAGAGTGGCCTTAAAGAAGTAGAGAAAAAAGCCACAGTTCATTTAGGCTTTTCTGGTTTTGCTTCTTTCTTTTTATTTCTTTCTAATCCACTCTGGGTTTAGGACATGGGTATTTTTACCTTTAAGTGACTTCATTAAAGTGAGACTATTCCTTTAATTTTCACTGAAGTAAACATTCAATTCTTTTCAACTTGGTAGTTCATAAAAAAAAAAAAAAAAAAAAAAAAAAAAAAATGATATGGGTGACTTTTTTAGTATTAATGATTTGACTTACGGTAGTGTGTAACTAGCCCAGGAACTGGTGAAGATTTCATTGTGGTTTATCTTGTATAAATTCTGAACAAATATGATACTTCCAGTCAATTATTTTTAATGGGCCATTATCTTATTCCAAAATTGATTCTTCTATCAGAAAACAAAACAAGCTGTATATGGAAGTTTCTTCCCAGAAAATGAGACATCATCATCATCATTTCAGAAACACCTTTTAGCAAGAATTTTGCAGAATTCATTTGTAAAACTCAGTTCTGCAAGACCAGAAACTTCATAAAACTGAACAAGGTGGGTGAGGGGAAGGTTGTACAAAAAAGATGTTTCAGTCCCTAACAGAGCATACTATAAAAGCATGAAGAACTTCAGCAAACTTGTGGAGAAAAAAAAAAAGCAGCATCTCAGAACAACATGGCTTCATATACCGCTACTAAATCCTAACATTAACAGAGTGTCCTACAAACTTCCCCACATCATCAGCTTTCTGTGTTTCCTCAGCCATGAGGGATGAAGCTAATAGAAGAAGGGCTAATTCACTTCTTGATAGATGCAGCTCAGAGCCTGGCATATAGGGCTGCTTTTACATTAACACCAGAACACACAGTTTTGAGTTAGAAGGTGGTAAGTCTAGTTCAGATAACATAAATCTTAAACAGTGTAGATTGATAGTCTAATTTGGATGTCTGTGCTTAACAACATCTACGCTTATTGCTAGAAGTAAAAATTCCTATTAAATATTGTAGCAAACGTAGTAACACTAATTATTATTCCTATTAGTTCCTCCTATTATATGCAAACAAAAGGAGAGCGTGGGGAAAAGTAAAAGTGTAGTCTGTTCCAGGATTATCAGCAGTGTATCAGCAGTGTCAACATTTCAGTCAGACTAGACATATTCAAAATTGTGAGGTGGTACCTAGCCAAAGCCAGTGCCCTGTTTACTCTCTCCTCCAGGCCTGTGGTTCCCAATGCTTTCCACATCAGCCAGAATTTGAACGCATCTGGACGCCTGCTGCACTGAATGGACTTGTCACCAGTGTCATAGCTGACATCGTAGAACTTGTCCTGCTGGAACAGGTATGCAGCCTTGGCAGAGTAACACTTCTTCAGGAGGCCCTATTAGAAAGACAACAGAGACTTAGACTGCTGATAAACATTTTGAAACCTCTTATTCTTCACAAGCCACAGCCTTTTTTTCCCCTGTCTGTACCAACTGCTTAGTAAAACACAACTGGATGTGCAGGAAACTATCCAAAGCTTATGGTGTGGTTTAAGAACCCCAAATGAACCCGAAACCAATGAAGACAGCACTGACAACAATGAAACTTCTTAAAAATTATTTTCTTCTTAACATCACTGAAGAGTTGCTGACTGAAGAGGAACTCTGACTCAAGAAGCCATGGGAGTGAGTACCGCAGAAACAGTTGCCCAAAGAAATACATGGGTGGGAAAGAGGGAGAAGAAGGAGAAGCCTCTGCCCACTGCTGCAGTCAATAGAATGGAAGAACAGTGCCCAAGGAGCTTCCTACATGTTCACAAATAGCTCAATCTATTCCATTCTTTGTCAAAGAACCTTATATACAGCATAGTTAGTTGCACATAGGGAAGGTTTTAGCCCCAAGGAATAAATGTTTAGCCCTTACCAAAAAATAAAGTCACTGAGGATTTAGCATAGGCTGAGTGTAAACACCACAAGGAGATTAGCACAACCCCAGTTTTTGTCTCTTTTCACAGTTCAGACATTTTAACATTTAAAAATAAACCTCAGTAAAGGCACTTTAGCATACCCTAATTATGGTTTGTTAATGAAATTATTTTTATTCAGCAATCTCCAGCCTCCAAATTCTGATAGGCTGCCTGGGCAGAGATGAGCAGCAAAAACAAATGTGGCAAGTTCCAGCAAGGAACAAAGCTGGGAAACAGAAAGCACAGAGGCTGTTAAAGATGCAGGGTAGAGAAGCAACATAGGACTGGCCACTGGCCTAAGAATGAAATAACAAAGTATACTCTGTAATTCTATGAAGTAAAGAGAAGGACAGGCAGAAAGCAGGTAATGAGAACAGAGATGAGGGTGGCCCTAACAAGGAGCCAAGCAGACTGACAAGGTCGTAGATTTGTCAGTGATATTAAAAATGGTTAAGAAAAAGAAACCACAGTCTATAAGATAATACTAGAATAGAAATTCAGATGCAGTTAAAAACATGGCCAGAGCATCTGATTCAGATCTACAAACATGTACTTAAGTGACAGTTGAACCAGAAGTCTTCCATGCAGAACAGATCAAGGAACAGAAGTGGACACAGCACGACAGAAGTTGCTAAACAGTATCTCAAAGAGCACAGTTCCTTTTCCAACTTAACATCACTCTTTGATTTGAACCAACTGAAAAAGCATTTCACATATCATCCTTTTCATTTGCTGCAAGTCTGATTTTAAAATGGCAGTGTCTGACATCACTCTTAATGAAAGTGTCATATTCCCATAACAGAGGTACAATTCTTGATCTACACTACAACACACTACTGATAACTTTGAAACTGACAATAAAATAGAAAAAAAAAGTCAAGACAAAAAAATCCAAAGGAGAAATAATCCATTGGCATACACAGTATAAGTCTCACTCTCTCCTAGCTTTTTCAGTTCCCTCTATCAATACTAAAAACAAAAACAGCCCAACCTGTGCACCTTTTCACAGAGCACAAAAGGAGAACACCAAAGGTTTCTCCACAACTTCTGTAGTGGTTTGAATATCCCACTGTAATATTGCTGGCTTGCAAAAACGACAGCAAATTCCACCTAAACTCTAGCTACAGTACCAGCACATTCAGGCTTATGAAAAGACAGTTTATGTGACAGCTTGAGAAAAAAGGGGCAGTGGCCTCTTTCCCTCTGAGGTCAGAGGGATAATGTGCTGCTGCAGCACATGGTAGCCCTAGTTGGAAAGCCAATGGTGGGCACAGTTCTTTTTGCAGTAATCAAGATTCTCACACCCACTTTCCAACTTTCTCAGAAAAAGAAAGGTGAGAAGATGACACTAGAAACCAAAGAAAAGTCAAGCTGTGAAGCATCCGCCCTTTGACAGCTTTGAGTTCTCTGACTAGCAGCTGCACAACAGGAACAGGAGTCTATTTGTCAAGCCATTGTGCCCTATTCATTTACATCCTCATATCTTAATTTTCAGGGTAAATAAAATTTTACTAGACATTGTATTTAAAAGAAAAAAAACCCCACACAAAAATCCAAACAGCTAGCAACACCCAAAAATTTAAGTTAATTGCTTTGTCTCTTACTGACTTGAAAATTTTGCAGTGTTTCTGCAGTGAGTGTATAGCAGGGTTGATCAATGTGGGACTATCTTATGTCTTACCAGAATGTAATAGAGCTGCACAATAGAGGACATCACAGGATATTAGTTCCCCTCATGCCTGTCGTCCAAGAATTAATAACTTCTGTTTGTCACAAGGAACCTAAACTCAGTTGGCAATATTATGGAGAGATTGTGAAAAGTTCACTTAAGATCACAGTACAGCTACAGAGTTTCATGGTTTAAAAACAAATGCTCTAGAGTGAAAACACAACAAGAACAAATAGTTCAATCTCTCTGAGTGAACTCAAATTCCTTTTTTTTTTTTTTTTTAAAAAAGTGGGTACTGTCCCACTCTCCCAATATATCTGAAGCTGACAAAACATGCTGGCTTGATGATCCTTTTCCATGTGCTTATCTTACTAATAATGCAACATGCTCAAGAAATCCTGCTGAAGATATTGCCTACTGTCAATCTCCACAGGCAAGTAAAGTGACATCCTCCAGCACGTCACTAGAGCAGACAGAAGAAAAAAAAAATCATGATTTGTGAGAAAAAGAAATATGCCAGATCAATACAAGAAGCAAGGTGGAGGAGAAAGAGAAGACAAAGGCAATATTAAAAAACGGTGTGGGCAGGAAGGACAACAGAAGAGGGAAAAAATCCAAGATAAAATTTTATGCTCAAAGAAAGCAGTTATTTCTTGATTGATGTTGTCTCAGGAGTAATAGACTCAAACATGTTGAAGACATAAAAAGCCATCTCAGTTTTCCTAGTCATATGATGGAAAAGTAGGAAAACAATAGGAAAAAAGTATGTTTTCTAACATTCTCAGTCACAAGAAGACCCCAACATTTTCACAGAATCATCTAGGTTGGAAAAGACCTTGAAGATCACCTAGTCCAATCATTGGCCTAACACTGACAGTTCTGAACTACACCATATCCCTCAGCGCTATGTCAACCCAATTTTTGCACACAGTAACTGAGCTGCTTCATCTATTCAGAAGAATTGCAAAAATTTAATTAGAACTGCCCCATTTGACAAGTTTGAGATCCTTTCTTCAGCATCTTTTATCTTTCTAACCTTTGTACAGAGACTAATGGTAGTGGGTCTGTCTTACACTGGACATGTTAAGTTCAGAAAAAGGAACTACTATTTTCATGGAAGTCCCAGTCCACTGTGAAGTTTCAAATATCCATAGACTTCATCAAAACCAAATGCTAGTTGCTGTGTATTCTAATTAAAGGCAAATAAATGAGTAATTATTGATACTGAAATCAATATATAGATGAGCTTCAGCTTCATAATTCAACATAATTTTCTCACTTGAACGCACTTACCTACAGCAAGCCTTCTGATCTCTTTCCATTTCCATTGCTAGTTAAAAGTGAATTTCAATTTCATTAACAAAATATTTTTTCCCCAAGCTTTTTCTCCCCCGAGACAAGCAACTTTCTGATTTGCCTCATCTGAAGCAATAAGGACAATCTTTTAAATGGCATACTTGAAAATTCTCAAAAGCTGTTCGGTGCAAAAGGCCACCCCTGTAATTCACTTCAAGAGGTGAGAAGGATCTCTCAGTTGTACTAACCCCAAGCAGAAAGCAATGGGAATAGATTATTTCCCACAGCTGCCCTGGAAAGGAATCAGGGAAGTAGACATCTTTGTGATACTGCTAATGAGGAAAAGATTACACTGTAGATGGCTACCATGATCACCTCAATCTGTATTCTGTGCTAAACTGGGATTTCATTAGCTACATTCTTTGAGACTTTATTTTTAAGTAAGAAGTGAAAATTCTGCTCATCACCTAGAATTGATTGCTAATTACCTAACCTAGTGCTACATTCTAACAAGTTACAGAACTCTGGCATTTGTGATAAACATCAGTTCTCTATATGGTGATAATATTCACATTTATATGGATTATAGCAAGGAGAAATTGAAGCAGGTCTGTGGTCCTAAGGGAGTATGTACAACCCAAGACTGATTCATAGCATTTTAAGAACATATAAGAACAAAGCTGATTACTAATGTTTTGAGAACAATGGTCCACCTTGCTCTGTGTTTAAACAGTCACTGCAATTCATACCACAACAAGACAAGTGTTTTCTGAATGAGTCTATCTTATTACAGAAGTGATCAAAGTTACTAAGCATATGGCAGTGGAAAAGAAATAACTGTGCATTTCTTGAGTGCTTTAAGCACTGAAACTACTGTCATTGATCTGAGCTTTTCCAGAGGATTAACCAATCTCTCTTTCCCCTTGCTGAAAAGGCTTCTCCTTTCTAACCAAGTCAAACACATATTTCTCTCTTCTATCCCTACCTTCTTTGGAAATCATTCCAATTTTGTTTTGCTAAGTCTGGAAAATACTCTCTTATATCAGCATGTCACTGCAGTTTATCCTTTTTTTTAATCTGTATAGGAAAATATTTAAATACAATGTTTCATTCTAATAATCTAGCTGCAATGTCTTAAACCTATTAACACTGCTAAACCACATAGCTTTATTGATGGCATGCAGTAAAAAAAACAAACCAAACAAAACCAGTCACCGTTACTTTTGCCAATAGGAAATCAGGGTGTCACTACTACATCAGAAATACTGATTCCTTTCAAGATTATCTTTTCATACATAAAGTAAAATACAATGCTTGGGCTTGTTAAACTAGCTATACCTTTAAAAAAAAAAAAAAAAAAAAAAAAAAAAAAAAAGGAAAAACGGAAGGGGATTATTTGTCCACTTATAACCATCCAACTCTAATCCTGAGGTAGTCCACAGATTCCAAATGGATCTCAAAGCAAATGAAAAGACAGGCTAAAAACCTTCTTTAATCAGACCTTCAAAGGGGTCTAGGGCTTGATTCATAAATGAGTTTTAACATCTGTGTTTAGCATTTTGTTGCTCTGATTTCTTGCAGAATTCACCACTTCAGAAACCACCTAAGGTTCCTTGAACATTCACTAGAAGAGTAATGTGTGCCAAGCTCTTCCAGCTCTCACCGACATCCTAACCACTGAGTGAAGGAATTATGTTCACAAATAAATCTGTGCTTCACCTGCAGCCATAGGTATTCATGTGATTTAGGAGCAGTGGTACAAGCTTCAAGGTGCAAAACTGATACACATATTCTTCCCCTATCTTAATGGTGTGAAAATAACATTTTTAATGGGAAACTGGATTCAACTGCCTTTTCTGGTATGGAGAGGATCAAAGTGAAGCAAGGTCTTTCTGCCAAAGCATCTTTAACATACATTTGATTTTTTTATCTTAAGGATTTATATTCCAATACTGTTAAAAAGCTGGTAAGAAAGTATTCAAATCTGTATGTGCATCTGTTTATATATACAGACTGCACTGGCACATACACACGTAAGTGCCAATTTTCCAGAAAGTAAACACAGAGTATAATGCCCTCTCCTTCCCACATAGAAATCTTTTACTTTTCAGAATGTCTCTTGCTGTACAAAAGAAACTGATTGCATGATCAGTAACACTTGTGTTTCCACCTCTCAGTGGCCTAAGATTCAATTCCACAAGTATTTCCAGTACAACATTGCCTAGCTGTGATTTAGAAGTGGAATAGGATTGCTCTACCATTACATTCCCTGGAAGGAGAATACAGAAAGGTTGCCAGAGCCCTGAAGTTGGAAGAATGTTTGTAAAGTGACTATAAATGCCAGGGCAGCTAGAATATTTTATTCCTCTCCTTTCTTTAGTCTTTCTTCCTGAGAAATTTCCACTGTGCAGCCCCAATAGTCTAATCATCACCTGGGGCTATATCTATGTACTGGGCCTAATTAGTTAAAAATATAGCACTGAAACCTTCCCAAGCCTGCAATTAAGACATTGCATTTCTCTTAGTCAATAACTTCATTCTGCTTGGTTTTCACCCTGGAATAAAGTGATGGACAGGTAGTACTGGAGTCTAATTCTCTTTAATCCCACCAGACTCTAGTCTAAGGAATTGAGAAGGCACACTTCTCCTTGCTGTCTCGCTATGTCTCACCCCTGACTTGGAGCAATCAGCTCCACAAGAGCACTGATTAGCATCTATGCTCTTTGGTCCTCATGAGTTCTTACTACCAGAAGTTAGTAACCAATTACATGGATAGCTAACCACTAGCAGCTGAATAGAAACTATCAGCTGTTCTGACTGAGATTTATAAAAGTGATTTACAAACCATGGCCACAAAATAGTGATGCAAACCTCAGGGGCTCCATCTTCATGATGTTCAATCGTTCATAACCTATGTACAAGCTAAAACTCACTCCTGATGGTGGACAATGGACGTAAGTTTTAGCAAGGCCAAGTTTGAAATAGGACTTGAAATAATTGACCTCTTTCTGTTTTTTTTTTATTAAGATAGAAGAATTCCACAAAGATATAAGCAGGGACTTTCACCACACTGCAGACTCATCTCACTTTTGTGCCACTTGAAATCAAAGCTCTTTTGTTTGCTTGTCAGACCTTTTAATTAGCCATGGCTTTTGGAAAGCCTGAATCACCCTGGTGATGAGGAAGAACTAGTAGAGTGAAGAGAGAAGGCTCAGTACCTTTACGTATGTGTGCTTCAATTCCTATCACTCTCCTTTCCCACGCCGGTGCACCCACGTAAGGGGATGCAAAGAGGAGCCCTGCCTACTTTAAACAGATGCAGTACTGCTGCAGTCCCAATGGATGACAGCTATTCTGAGGACTTTGATGAGCTCAGTGTTTAAGTGCTGCAGACCCAGGTGACAAAATACTAAATTCTGAATGCAAATCATGTACAGAAGTTAACTAGGAAGGGCACCAGCTGCAAAATTTGACCACTGGTGAGTACAGTGACTTGGATCAGTTTGACCCTTGCTCTCTTATTCACCCTTTTGTTAATTTTGTGGTGAAATTCAAAATATTATCATTCAGCATTTGCACTGCAGTGTAATAAAACTGACTTGCAGTTGTTTTCTAATTGTTTCCACTTCCATATTACAGCAATGACAGCCTACTACATTAAAAAAAAAAAATTAAAAAAAAGAAGAAAAAAGAACAGAAGGACTTACAGAGTTGTCTTTCACCAGAAGAGCACAGCATTGGATTCCTGCCAACAGCATTTTATGGGGATTCCAGGCAACAGAATCAGCCCTGCAAAATTTATAAATGGAGAAAGGGAGTTGGAAATTGCACCTATAATCATGGATACTAGAGAATCAAAAATGGGCAAACACAATCCAAGCAGACGAATCAGATTTCCCATTTTTAATTCCCCATACAACCCCACAGGTTCAGAAATCTACCTAATTAATAGTAATATGTAATTTGGAAAATGCAGCTCTCATGGAGACCAATGAGCCACACAACTTCATGGATAAGTGTGCCCAACTGACTTACCTGTGGATGCCATGAAGAAGTCTGCAATGCTTCCTTGATATCAAAGCTGAGCCACCCCAAGAAGCCTGTTGGAATATTTATAGAGCAAAGACAATATTATTGGTACAAAGTTCTTTTGGTAATGTTTCAAGTAATAATTTATGATGATGTTTTATCTCATTTAAAACTTAGTTTATTACAGGGTCAGTGAGCTAAATTTTGCCTTTAGTGTCATCTATTGAAATAAAGATGACAGCCTGGGGCTATGCCTAAAATAGAGGAGCTGATGGTTTTTGTTGCACTATGTGAGCCACAAACTACACTGTCCCTTTCTGTGTAAGCAAGGGTATGAAACAAAGTGTCTTTGCATAACCTGACACATACCTGATTCTGAATTAGCGGTGCTTCCTTTTCCCCAGCCTAAACTTAAGCAGTGAGAGCAGAAAGCCCCATTTTGCATATCTTCTTCCTGCTAGACGTTTTCTTTCTGAGACATTCACAAGGGAAATGGTGAAGAATGATTGTCTCTACCAACTGTAAAGACCAGGCTCAGATTTTCCACAGAATTTGGATGTGAAAAGCAAAGTCAGTGGTCACCAATAGCAGCACTTCTGTTACCAGCAATCCAACTGACCTTAAAATGGAGTAAGATTCACCACATCTCCCTTGGGTCATCTAAGAACTGTGTGGTCTAGGGGTCATTTAGGCCTTTTCTGTAGTGAGGCACCCTCCAATGAAACTCCTTATCAAGTGTCATCTTATCTATTCTAGATACCTGTCTTTGGGCGACACCTTTTGCAGATGCCTCTCTCCACAGGTCCCAGACAACAAACTTATTACACAAGTTTAAATTCTGGGCAGCTGGAGTCAGAGAAGGTGATTCTCATCCATGAATTCTGCAAGGATCAGATTTCACCCATCAGGTAGATGCTGTGAGTTTTCCATTCTCAAACAACAATATTTGTCCACAGGGGAGGGGTGGGGAGAAGATGCAACAAACAGTAGACACATCATACAATGCATTTGAGAAAATATTACTAAATAGGAAAAAAGTGATTTTTCAATGTTCATGTAGGCAGAATCCACTTAAGCAAATTCCCTGTGAAGTAAGCAAGGCTCCTCAGAGATGCATCAGTCCACAAAACATCTGGACTCAGTTTATTTAAAAAAAGAAAAAACAAAACAAAAAAAAACAAAAAAAAAAAAAACAACAACAACAACAACAAGAAGGAAAAAAAAAAAAAAATCACTGATGTGAAGATTCCTGACCTAAGCTGGAGAATACATGCTTGTTTGGCTTTTGTTCTTTTTTTCCATTGAAAGAAACAGATGTGTTAGCTGATCCAAGAATTTAGCACCAGTATTTGCTTTGCAGGCCATACATTAGGAATAGGATCTGCTATCTCTGGGAGACAGGCATGGTAAAGGCTCACAAGGGAAATGAAAGGTTAATAACTTGCCTTAACACATGTCGTTCTCATTAATGCAGTACATTAATGCACTGCACCATATTTTATGTTGTCATGCTCACAACATCCTTGCTGAGGAAAGGGGTGCTGCTCAATGTACAGGTGGTACCTAAGGTGGGAAATTATTTGCCTGAAACTTCACAGTAATCCTGTGGCAGAACCATAACTTGAAACTGGGTTTCCCCAGCTAGCCCAAATTTGCTATGTTATGGGAAGACAATGAAACTGAACTTCGTATTCATAAACAAATTTCACCCTTCTCATTCTGCAATTCAATAAAGTCAAAACAGTCACTAAATTATTGCCTGATTTTCATAACTGATAAGCAACCCACTGAAATATAATATAATAAATTTAATAAATAATAAAAATAATAAATCTGTATCCAGAGGTATTTGAAAAAGTTGACATTTTCACATTGTCTCTGAAAAACAGGACTAGAAAGGCCCTCAGGAGGTCACGTCAACAGTGTGCCACACCCAAAGGCAGGGTCAGTCATACTAATCTCATTTCTGGCAAACAATTGTCTTTTCTAGATCTTATTAATCAATGAACACACCCAGCTTGTGATTAGCATCAAAGTGAAAAATAATGCTCAGAGACACCAGCAATTTCTGCCTCCACAGCACTATTGGCGCTACTTTCTGCCTTTGTTTTAAAAATTACTGCTGGAGATCCGGAAGAGAGGGATGATAATACTGGAGGTCCAGGCATCTCTACCACCTCTCAATCTCTCCAGCCACAGTGCTATAAAATGAATTTGTGCTCCATACTGCATTACCCAGTTCAAAGACCAACTGCTTAGGGATCCAGGGCTGACAAACCCCCCCCCAAATTAGTGAGAAGGCACCTAAGACGGAGAATCACTGGCTTTGTGTGGTTTTAAAGACCTCTAATGATGGAGGCTGCACAATTTAACCACTTAATTGTGTTTAACAGTTACAACCCTACTGATTTGAAGTGTCAGTTCTAAACACTGTTACATCTTGTCATACCTGCAGCGGTCAGGGGAACAGATTATTCCTTTTCTTTTTGCAGCAGCTTTTAAAGCATCTGTAGACTATTACATATTTTTTAGTTTAAATAACATCAGTGCTTTCAATCTTTCCTCATTGGTCATAGTTTCTAGATATGGTTCTGTTTATCCTCACTGCTCTACTATTTTCTAATCTTTCTCCTGTAGGTCCTTAACCTTTTTGCAATGCAGCTTTTTATTTGGACACAATCTAGATAAAGCAGGTTGAGCACCAAGCAGAAAGAGAGAATTATTTTATATATCTTCTTTATTCAATTCTGAAAGATATTTAACCTTATTTGGAAATGCTTATAACTGCTGATCTGTGATGTGCTGCAAAACCCAGATCTTTGTCTGAAGATCTGCTATCTAGCCAACAATCCCCAGCCTGTGTTTGTGCAGTTGATTATTACAGCTTAAACTCATAGCTCTATCTTTATTGAACTGTAGCCTAGTTTTTCCACTTTTTTCTCCAAACTGTCAAGATCTCTTTGATTTCTAATCTTGTCCTCCCACTGCCTCTTGCAGCAGTTTTATGTTAGTTTCAAATTTAGTCAGCATAATCTTTTTCATCCAAGTTATTAATGAAAATACCAGGTAACTTCTAACTTGGAATGGATTTTTGTGGAATCCTGCTCGAAATTTTCTCCCCTTTCAGCAGTGAACCATCAGTAACTTCTCTCTAGGTATGATTTTTCAAACCAGGTTTTCACTTAACTAGCACAGGGGCAGCTTGGCATGTTTCTTTGGCTTTCTGATGAGATTCAAAGACACAAAAAAGTTAACTGCTTATCCTCTAGCCATGAAACTAGAGAAGGAAGGTAGATTGATCAAACTAGATTGACACATTTTGTTTATGACAGATTCAGCTGACAGCAATGTTCAGCTGAATATTGGTAGCTAAGGTAGCTCAAAACTCAAAGATTATCACCTATGTTATGCAATGTAATTGGTAACTAGGTATCAGAAAATTACTGTGTTTCATATGCAAGAAGCCGCTTACAGCTGAATGACAGGAATCTGTGTTCACAGTGTGATTAAACTAACTACCTAAGCACAGGCTAATAGGTCAAACAATTTTTTGTACTAGTCTAGCCATAAGAAACAAACAAAAAAAATAAAAAAATATCAAAGTAAGGACTAGCAGGGAAGAAATATACATAGTATTTAAAATTGCATGAACACAATACATGACATACATAAGTGCTGGAGCTTGAGCGCATATTGATGATGCAAAACAAGTCATTAAGGCATCATAGATGTACAATAGAATGCAATAAACAACTGGAATGTATGAATCCTGTAACATGCACAAAATAAGCCTGGTTATAGTCTCTGCACTTAGGCTGTTGAATGATTTGACAGCTGAGACATTTCAGGCTCATTGGTATTATCTTCTTAAAACAACTTTTTCCATAACTACCTTTTCCTCTTTAGGTTTGTCTCCATGTGAGAGCTTATCTACTATTTCTGTTTTTACCTAAATTTACCTTCCTGAAGCGCACTGATTTTATGCTGACGGTCTCCCTTTTGCTCTTCCTAAGAATCATGAGCTTTATCATTTCATATTTAATGAAAAGTCTCCCTAAGGCAAACACATCAATTTTCAGGATCAGAAAACATTCTGAAATGAGATATATCAGTGTAAATCTGGAAATAACACCACTGACATTCATGTAAGATATTCTTCTAAACAGCTCTTGAGACCATTTGCAGTTGATAATCCTGATTCTCATCATGATACATGAAAAGTCCTAAATTAGACAGGACTTTCTGTGTTTTTTAATCTTTAATTGTACTGTATCTTTTTTTTTTTCTCTAAAGTAAAAGCAGGCCCAAATAGCAGTACTCACTTGCTATAACTCAGACTGCATAACATGTAAATCATTCAACAAGAAGCCAGGACTTTCAGAGGCATGTAGATCCTCAAAGCTTTCAAAAATATTATATTCTTGCCTATAAGGCTAAAAGGAGGTAGGGTTGCCTAAGGAAAAAAAAAAAAAAATCCAACTCTTCACTATGTTTCCTGTACGCTCTCTCTGAATGGCAGATGCCTGGCCTCATTGTACCTTTTCACATATTATTCTCGTAGACCTATTTTTAATGGTGCTGTGAGTGAAAAAAGGGTCATATTATGAACTACAATCTGTTCATTTACCATAGTACATTTGTATGTACATGTATGTCTAATATCACTTATGTGGAAAGCTTTCAGTCTTTTCCCCATATCTGTTCTTACATAAATACAGATAGAAACTTTAAACAAAAGTAAACAGATATCCACTCAACTCTTCATAGAGGGTGAAAGGAAAGATGAAAAAAATACTGACAGAAATCCTGAGAACCATTGAGAGGTTCATAATATGAATCACATCTTAACAGAACAAATGGTCTTCCAAGACTATAAACGCAATTTATTACCAGACATTTGTCCTTCTACTGGGAATCAATTAACATCTGACAACTACAGTTACTATTCAAACAGCAAATTAAGATATTCACTGGCATTTTTACCTTAGTTTAACATAAGGCAAAAATCAGAAGTTTACAAAACACTACCAACTGCCTATCAATTATATAGTTTAAAATACAGCCCATGCTCATCCCACCTAATTTCAGTTATTCGGCTACATGGAGTGTGTTAGGAGACTACTCATTGTCCTCCTACAGCCACTGCAGATGTCTCCAGCCCTGTCTATTCAACTCACCTAAGATCCAACACAGATTCTGAATACATCCCTCTTTCCACCAGCTACAAGCAGACACACAAGAGATTAGCACCTAATGTGAATGCTGCACTTCTGCTGAAAATCTGCTAGGTTGTTCTCACCAGCACACAGCCATTAGGTAGGCACTTTAAATACATGGGCTAGATTCTGTATCTTTGACTCACACATTATGTGAGACATTTATTTGAAACATACATTGCTGCCTATGTGATTTTTCTTTAGATACTCAATGTTAAACAAATACTTCAGAAGTTTAGATCAAGTCTAAAAGTCTCCATTAATGTTGCTCCAAACTCTCTCACTGCTTCATGGCTTTTATCTAGCCATTCTTGATTTGTAGCATTGCAATTATAAAGAGAATGCAATTGTAGAAATTATGAAGTGACCTAGTTTTCCAAAAACAGGTTTACATGTAATTTTTTCAGGTAATAAAAAGGTTCAATGATTATTCCCTAAAAAAATCATGAATGGATTTTAATATCCAAACCTAAAAATATAAAGAAATGAGAAAAGAAAAATTTCTAAACAATTTAGGAACACATAAGGAGATCCACAGAAAACTCAAACCTGTAAAAATAATTTATGACTGGCTCAGTCAGAAATATACCTTTATTTTAACCTCTATGAACCATACACAACAATTCTAATGTGTCCGTTCTCCAACAGAATGTGGAAAGAATCCAAAGTTGTATATAATCACCCCTGAAGCATACTTAGGAAGTAGCAAGAAGAAACTGATTTTAAAATCAGTTTGAAATATAATCTGACAATGACAAAATAGCTTTGACTGTTTCTCCTAACCAAATTATTTGTTGTTTCTCAGCACATGTAACAGAAATCAGAATGTATTTGTTCTCTATGCAAAAAAAAAAAAAAAAAAAAAAAGCAAGCATTTTTCATTTCCAGTTAACACCATCCCGGGGCAGACTTCACCAGATTCAGACTGTTTTGACAGGTGCTAGTTTTGTCAAAATCAAAACATACTGCATATTTGACATCTCTTTATACACTGATTTTCATTTCTCAATCTTACACATTTTACTACCATATTTTCTGCCAAATAAAATAAAGCTACTAGCTCAGCCAGCAGGCTACCCATGCAAGGAAAGAGCTCATCCCTCTAGGGGTTCCACCTGCATTGTCTCTAAAATGTCCCTATTCTCTGCCTGGTGAAGAGGAACCTTCAGTTAGGGAAGATGATTTGCCTTTGGCAGCACTGGCACATACCAGGACTGCAACAGTCATCGATGACTGACCCCCATCTACAGCAAAGCGCTAAGCTCTTGCTCCTACCCCTGTCTAGAAAACAGGAAGGGCTGTAGATGGTAACAATGTAAGGAGAGAGATGACTGGAAATCTCAGACATTTTTAAAGTTAGACAGGTGGGATAAGGAAAACTTTTGTCAGGTTGCAGTCTCAGGCAGCCATCATAAGCCATACATTTTTCTTTCAGTGGCTCTGCTCATTGCTTTCCCATTCAAATAATATTGGGGCGCAATTACAGTAGATGTACATGACTAGGTCAAATAATATTGGGACGCAATTACAGTAGATGTACATGACTAGGTCATGTACCCTTGCAGATGTACGTGTCTGTGTCTACTTAAAAGCAGAAACTGAAAGAATGAAAAAAAGAGTTGGTGGAGTCTGTAGCAACTCAATGAAATTGAGGGTATCAGCTGTAGCAAGGGCTGTGTGACCTCACTTGCTGGTAAATACATGCTGAAGGAACTTCTCTGCACATTTCAGCATCTGGTCCACACCATGACAATGCAGTTACTGAAGCGGCACTAAAGTTATTAAATTGTACAGTCTGGGATCCCTGGTGTTCATTTGCAGTGAATTAAATCTCTCAGATGATGCAAGTCTCTCTGCTGATGTAACTCAATGTAGCTTCACTGAAATCAGACATCAGCTGAAAAAAAAAAAATCATCACACTCTACACAAGTCTTATGTATCTTCACTTCAGCTGAAATCCAATTTAAAAAAAAAAAAAAAAGTTGCCACTTTTAAACACCTGCTACAGAGACAGACAGGCTTGATTCACATTTACACTCTGACAGTTTTATACTTCTTTAACAGTGTAGAGAACTGGTTGAATGGTACATAATTATGATTTATTTTTATTTTTTAAATTCTTTACAAACTGCTACAGCAGTGAAAAGTAACCTTGGAATGAATTTCAATTAATCCCATACATTCACAAAGAATAACCAGGCTATAATTCACTTCTTGATCATTCATTCCTAGTACAACCTACCACAAAAGTCAATCAAACTTACAAACCAGCCTGAAGCCCAAATACAAAACTTGCAAGCGAGGCAAAGATGTATCTCCTGCACCTAGTTTCTGTTAGCGGTCTCACCAATTTTATCCCACAGCTATATTGAAGTCAAAGGTCCCTCAGCAGCCAGCAGGTAACATGACTGAATATCGGGACAAAGTCTAGGATCTCTATGAATTCCAAAGATTGTTACCATTACATTTTTTCCCCACAAAGAAGGGAATTAAAGTTTTATTATTATTGACAATATAGTTAAATAAATCTTCCTGACTAAATTCTCTAAAAAGAGACCTAAGGCTCTTACTATTCATAGTCAGTGATCATTTTGTGTTTCTATCACTAACAAATACATCCTCTGTTGGCTACAGTCATTAGAATATTTACTGTAATTCACTGAAGTGTCCTTCTGTAAAAGTTGTAAAGTAGCACATTATCAAGGACAGACACACTTACTGAAGCTCTGATGAAATGAAAACCTTCAAATATACATGTAGCTTCCATTAAAATGCAAGTAATTTCTCCTGTAAGCAGAGCATTTTAATATAGAATATGTTTTTAAATTGCAGAGCATAATACTGAGCTTGACCTTTTTTTAAAAATTATAAATGCCAGAGGATTTCTTTCAAATAACCATTGAATTTATTATTACATCAACAAACAAATTCTGGTTTTGCAAGAGCAAAGAGCTCATTCTCCTGTGTCAGCCTGCTTCGTCTTGCTACATTCTACTTCAGTCTTTTTCCCTCCAGCTTGCTCAAATGAGTAAGGTACAGGTTGTCCTCCACAGATAAGTACAGAAAAAAGCAAGCAGGACAGTTTGCTAGGTCAGTAGGGTCACTATGTATCAATAGTTATGCTCTCTAACCTGAAAGTCAAAGACGGGATGGTTGTCTGGAAGAAGATGTATCTAAATCAGATCTTAGCAAAAGTTTCTAAGTTATGCAGTACATGACAGGACAGCACTGCCTTGGCTTTTCTATCAGCCACAAAATTAGGTTTCCCCAAAGTAGGATTCCAGGGTAGGTATCATCTCCACCACGGACACTGGACTAGCTGCTCGGTACTCACAGATTGTGGACTAAGGGCTGAGCTCTGAATCCTATTGCTGATGCACAAGTGAAAAATAAAGTGAGCTAACCAAGCTCAGAGAAGATGCTCTGCACCTTAGAATTCACATTCAGTCCTCCAAGCTATCTAAAATAAATTATGTTGACTACAGTAACTGCCATCTTACAGACTGTGGGAATGTATGTTAATGTTGTCCAAATAAACATCAGTACATTTCCAAATGCTAGCCTTTGACTTTCTGTTTGGCAAAGTCCCTGGGGGAAAAGAGGCAAAGAACTGAATGTCTGCACTCTTGCTACAACACTAGAAAGGAACAAATTTAGCATTTGTAGCTTGTATTATAGTTTTAGAGACTAAGCCGCATGTTACAATTCTTGCTCACTGCAAAGGACAGAGCAATAGCTGCTGTAATTAACTGAAAACCCTAGTTTTTTATTTACCATTTAAGGAAAACAAATACTGCATCCATTTAAAAACGGATCAAGGGCAAAAGAAATCCTACAAGAAATGTGCTAAATACTTCAGAGCAGCATTGTACTTGGGATTTTCATTAGCAGTAAACACCCTGTGGAATTCTTCTCTCTTGTAAGACTAGCACCTTAGAAGTCTTGGCTTGTTCCACAAGTTTGTGGCAAACAGATTGCACCTATAACAAGGACACTGTTACATTAACTGCCCTATTTTTAAAATTCATTCACTCTTAGTTTTTCTTCCTTTCACTCAGACACAAAGCACACAGTCTGCATACACTCCTCCTCCTCTCTCCTTCATGCTCTCCCCCTCTCACCTCTTTCCTGGCCCGCTGGACTTGTTTCTCCAGTTCCTCAGGTATCATCTTACCTCTAAGGGACACAGATTTAAAACTTTTTCAGTTACATTTAAATAGGTTGGTTATGTACAGCACTACTGCATTTTAAAAAGGCTCAGACACCACAGCCATGGCTTTTGCTTGCTTACCTTTCATCCGTTTTGATGAAGTAAACATTCTCTGTACCAATACCCAGGAAGGAGGCTGCCTTCTTCATGGAGTAATGACACTGTAAATGAAAGAGGCATGAAAAAAAAAAGTACACAATTAAAATAAAAGAAAGAAATTTCTTAGCATAGGGAACAGTGACACTGAAATTAATTTAACAGCAGCTAACAGTCATGACAACAGCATATTCTATGCAAACAAAGCCACACAGCACTAAGACCATCTTGTATTTAACACACACTGAAGACTGGGAAAAATAAGACAGAGATCTGTATAATGTTTAAAATGTGGGTTTAAAAAAATTAAAAAGCTCTATTCCATACAATTTTTTTTAAAGCTAGTTCTGCATTAAAATGAAAAGTCAAAATTTTGAAGTGTCATCAGGAAAGAATTATTAATTGTTTGGTTTAGTAGAACTGAGCCAAAATTATCAATAAGTAAGAGTTAGGAAATGCATGAGCAGAAAGTTCCAAAGACTATTGAACTCAACAGCCTAGAAGCAATCAGTAAGTCTCAAAGTCCAAAAGCACCAATCCTTGGAAACTGGACCTTTAATTAGGATGTATCTTATGATATATCTAAAGCCTCCATCACTTTATCCTTTAATTTTTCTATATGCTTTCTCTAAACATCAGCTGTTGGCCACTGTCAGAGACAGGATACTATGCTAAACTGACCCTTGGCCTGATCTAGAATATCTGTTCCCAGGATCAAGAAGCTCAAGTCCCAAGACTTACCAAAGCTTTTAGACGTGCCACAATTGGGACTTCCAAGGCTTTCAATGCCCTATCTCTGCAAAAGGGTCTGAAAATCATGGTGTTGTGAAGTCTGTCACATGAACATGAATCTTAGAAGATAGAATGAAAGCAAGCAGACTTCAGACAGGACTCAGCACATCTTCAAAAGTAAATATGGATTTTTGTAAAAGGCTCCAGTCTGGACCAGTCTGCATTTTTCAGAAAAGGAAGTTATTATTTCAGGAAAGAATTTTATCTATGTCTCATCAGAGACCTCTTTGAATAAGTAAAGATCCATGCAGTCCAGTTCTCACTTTGTGCTGAATAAAGGGCATTACTATATGAAGCCTGTGAAGTGAGCATAAAAGAAGCAGCCCCTTCACCTTCTGAAAAGATGCTAGAAATGGGTGTTTGTTCAATCCGAATGTGGTAAAATGGGTCTGGTATGATACTCAAGCCCACAGTCCACTCTGTACTTTTTATAAGCTCTTTTCTGTTAAACAAATATTTGAGGTATATCTTACCATATTTCCAACATTTGCCTCTATAAACACCTGCTCTACTGTAGATACTATTATTCCAGCATAGCAGCATTTTATAGTCATTCCAAAACAAGAGTATGCTGATCTCAGCTAAATCCATCTTCAAGATTAGCCTCGGAATTCAAGATACAGTAACCTTCTTAATCTGAAGATATTTTTAGATGTCAAAACCACTCTGAATAACCTGCAGCATGTCAAATGCCTACCCACTCAATGGAGTCAATTTTGAGAGTACGCAGCATCTCATAGGACTACACAGTTCTTCTCGGAATCAAGATCATCCAAGCCATGGAGTATCACTGTTCTTCTCAAAAAATAAAATTGTCTCTTTTTCACATTATTACTGAAAAGTTAAAATAACGCATACTCCAGCAACCATGAAGATGTCTAGAATTGTTACGTTTCATACAGGAGGTGAAGCCAGGTGGTTAATTAATTCCATTTTCTTTCACAGAGTTCACACAAATGAAGTTACTGCAGAACGTAATTATGAAAAATGTACAATATTTTAATGCGTGGGCATGAATATATTAAGGGTATTAAAGCTTGGCATGCTTATTTTGATGAGATGGATCATCTCAAAGGGCTGCTCTTCTTTCTGACAAAAAGGTTTCCCCCACCATCACCCACTTTTTAAATAAAGGCATACAAAGACACTACCTGATACTATCAGGTTTTAAGAAAGCTTAATTTTGTAACATGACACATCCACAAAGCCCTTAGGGCTCATTCATTTAGACTGTTACAAGAATAATAACATGCATAGGTGGATAATTAGTCTTACTTTATACCAAATTACATCAATAATGGTAACAGTGATAGTAGAGTGGCTGTGTGTTGTTCAGTAGAAGTTTGGAGATGTTTTCAACTGATTAGTGAATCACTTAAAATACAAGTTGCCTTCATCATTGATTTCTATCTATTAGGTTCAAATGAAAGGTATGAATCACCAGGAATAATCAGATTGCTCCAAACCGAGAAAGAACAGACCTGCAAATTCAGTATACTAGTAAACAGCAATGACTAAAATGTATTGTTTATTATAAAAAATGTTATGGAAGACTGGGAAAAAGATGAAAGAGGCTTGAGCACTTGAAAGATTATACCAAAAAGCAGAGGGAAAGAGAAGAACAAAGGGAATACCAAAATAAAACAGGCTGCAAGATACATTATTTCTCGCCTCCACAAGTGTTTCTGTGCCTCTTGGAAAATTTTGTCAGGTCTTCAGTAGGACAGAAAAGGGACAAGACTTACACTACTACATAGACTTGGAATATGCTTTATTTGATGAAAAATTATTTCAGTTATACTGACTGAAAAAATACAACAATTTCTGTTTTCCCCCACTATCATTACTAGAAGCCATTATGCTAAATTACACCACATAATTTTAAGAAAAAAAAAAAAACAGAGAACATTTAGCAGCTCCAGTCAACTAATTCACTTGTTCATAGTTTCCTTTACCAAAAAAAAAGAAAGAAATATCCAGATAAAAGGTATTATTTGTATCTAGATTATATACATAATTTTAAGTAATAATTTTAAATACAATGAGTTCAGATTCCTCTTGCCATGTCTTCTGCAGTTTTGTTTGTTTGGACACATTATTAAATCTGTAGCCATTTGTAGTAAGAAATGAATGCCTTTGAGCACAAGATAAAATTGGAACAGTGCATTTTAAATGCACTGCTCTACTATTTTAACTATAGCTATAGTTTTCATTTCCTAATAATGTTTGCAAAGGCAAGGTACTTTCCCCCTTTGCTCATTAAAACAGAAGACAAATCTGTATTTCCTTGATTTTGAAAAGTTTCTTAGAAACATGACTGCATAAAGCAATTACATTATTACGAGATTGTTTTATTACTCATTTTTGTCCATTGTAATTTCAACAGGGGACGACATGGTGAGTTAATGTTGTGCTCTCTCACTTTATTACTTTCATGATCAAGCTGCACTGGGGAGGAATTTCATTTCATTGCATCTAAAAACTGCTCACATCAGCATGCACATTTCAACTGTTTACACATCCTCTTCTACCATCAGTTAACTCAAATTTAGCAGATTTCTGCCTTTCAGACCAATGCAATACATTCTTGGGTCAGAATAAAGTTCAAATGAGACTCAAGTAACAAAAAGTGATAAAAATGTGTGCTGACACCTATAACTACAACTGTATTCAGCTCCTACAGAGCCACAAATCATCCCTGAGGAAAGTGGGATATAACAATTTCTCTACTGCTGCTAGTGTCTCAAGAGGAACAATGGTCCAGCATGAGAACTATGGAGTAGTAGCGTAAACAGTGTTCATTCCATATCACCATAATTTTAAGTAGTTAAGTATTTTACTTGCAGGAACAAGGAGCCTTTTTATTACTGAAGACCAAACAGAGCATGCGAGGACCTTGGGTGGGCCATGTATTAAACATACATCTTCATGTTATCCACAAATATACAAGAAATACATAGCCCCACATCATAAAGAATTAAGTCACTGACAAGTCTATGCATTCCCCTGCTCTACAACAAAGCAACTCTTTCAGTCTGCCAAGTGCCAGACTGAAGCTCTGGGACTTGGCAACTCAAGGCAAAAATCATTTCATTTGAACACAGTGTTGAAGCCAAGCCCTAAAAATCACACAAATGCCTTGAGCAGCCACGTGTTTTGACTCCTTATCAATACTTTCAGTTCATTATAGCCTCATGGCTTTTCCACATCCCAACACTGTTTTCCTGAATCACACTGAAGACAAACACAGATTGTTAACTTCTCCAGGTTGTTGGGGTTTTTTTTTTTAATCATTTGCTCCTCGAAGTACCTCTTCAGTTAAAAAAAAAAAAAAAAAAAAAAAGGCGCCTCAAAATAAAAACAAATAATAAAAAATTAAGATTGTGTGACACAACCACCACCTTTATTTAGAACATTTGGATTCAGTTCCAAAATATATGTGCTGTCTTGGACAACTTATGCAATGCCTTCATCCCTCAGGCCTCTTCAAAATAAGCCTCTCTTCTATTTACACTGAAAACTGTTTAGAGCATAAACTTAAAGACCTGAAATTGTTTCAGTAACTATATATAGATATATAGATATATATATATATATAGATATATAGATATATATATATATATATATGTACACACACTTCTTAGTACAACAAGGTTCCTACTTCTACCAGGACCTTTATATAGTGGAGTCAGAATTAACAACTCTGTACTAATCAAATGATAAACTTAAAATTGGAGGGATAGGCAAGAGAAAAAAAGCCACAAAAAAATCTGCTTCAGAATAAACATAGGAATGCAATTCAATTTCCCACAGGCAGTTCAGACATATTATTCAAAACTTTCAAAACTAGCCACATATTTTCAACTATTTAAAGAAGAACTGTCTAAAGATCCATCATTTTTTTCTGAAATGCTTTATGGTAGGTTTGGTTCTGTACCATAACCAATCTGTATTTAGACACAGGGCACAGTGGGAGCTGCAGAACATCATCTCACAGGTCCACAAGTGCTCAGCTTAGCACAAATTAAACCTACAGAAAAAAACTTTGACATCCAAAAGTTACCTATGGTTCCTGCTAGACATTATGCTGTGGGAAACCAAATGCTGCAGACCTCCATAACACACCACATGCATTCTGCTTCAGGTTTGCCCCACGTACAATCTATTCTTATATCAGCACTTTCCAAGAGCAGGAACATCTGTGTTTGTTTTCTGAAAGCAAGGAAGCTTCTGCGGGGAAATTTACCATCAGACTTCTCCACTTAGCTCCAATATTCCACATCATACACGGATGACAGATTTATTGTACCAGTGTCCCATCAAATATGCAAATGATACAGTTTTGCAGTCACTGAAAAATAAAGTTCAAAAACGATTTTTTGTTTTGTTTTTACCTCTTCTGAAGTGAACAGGACTAGTCTTGGCAAACCTGAAAGCCCTTTTTCCTTTATCTCAGGACAAAATTTGTATCTTGCTAAGTTCATAGCATACATATTAGAAACAGAGCCACCTGCAGAAAAAGACATACAAATATTGTATTATTAGCCACAGTCCTAACACCTGTCCTGTGTCTGAGTGCTTGAACTCTTAGGGAAAAAAACAAAACAAAACCAAACATACAGCAGGCCTATAGATGCATCCATCATAGCTTATTTCCTCCACCAAAACCTACAGACATAAAATGAACTTTGGGCTCTGCAGTATGCACTGAAACAGTGTGTTTGAATGCTCTTTGGGGATATTTCCTGAAGAATAAGTACTGTGCTCAAACAGTCCTCCCCAACAGACAATACCCTGTAGCAGTTCCTTCCCATTTACACTGAAGCAGTGCCAGCTCAGCTGCCCACACCGAGCTCAGCTGTGGCTGCACCGTACAGAGCCTAGGAGATCTCTTGGGCAACCAGGCCGCAGAGGATTATGGGGAGAAAAAAACCTGTGAGAAAAAAACACAGTGAGTGGGAACTGGAAGATCTGCAAGGTAAGATCTGAATGGGCTTTATTCACTTAAAAGAACAAAACCAAAAGAAAAGAAAAACCCTTACATAAAACTAGCACAAAAAAGTACAATTCATTTATCTTTTGACAGTATCTCAGTTTTAATTAAGCAATTCTGCTGTAATAGCAAGGATTCTACTGAAAATACGCATCAAATCTGATGTGAAAAAATATCCATACCATGAATTTTTTCTTTTTAAAAAAAAAAAATTTAGGTGAATTTAGTTTCTTTAGTTATTTATTTTTCTACTACTAGGGTAGAATTACTGACTTGGTTTTGGAGGTGAGGTTTAAATCCATTTACCCGTTTAATTACTCACCCCCAAATTAGATAGAAAAGCTTCACATCTAGCCTGATAATTCATTACCCAAATAACCTATGGAATCATATTAGGCGGCTTATTTCAATACAGTGGAGTGGAATGTTACTTTTACAAAACAGCCATGCCTTATTGAGAAGTTTAAAAAAAAATATTTGTTTGGTTGGCCTTGTAACATTTAATAAATTATCAAAACTCAAAGGAGTTACACTCATGACACTCCCACCAAGATAAACTCTGGCTCCCACAGCTGATAAGAAGGATACACAGATCAGGGCCCTCAGGCACCACTGGTTGGTGTCTCATTAATAAATCAGCTCCCTGCCTATCAACCAGTTTGACTCAATCCAATGAGGCTGTTGGTATTGTTGTTAATAAGGTCAGGAAGGGCATCAGTTACAATTCATTTCCACATAATTATATTGAATGTAGAACTGCTTTCATTCATTCATGACCAGATTCATAGACTTATTTCTAGAAACACGTAAAATAAGCCTGGACTAAATAGCTCTGTGTGCACATTACTGGATTGTTGCATGCATTTTCAAATATTCTACAGAAATCCAATGTTTGTGGAATTACTGGTATTAGTTGGTTTATAATGACTCAGTTTGAAATCTGAACTGTTCCTACCTGGATTAAATATACCATCACCTTCTTCCCAGCCTATGAACTCAATCATTTTCTTGATGACTGCTTCTTCCACCAACAGAAACACAGGAGATACTTCATATGTATATCTGTACAAAAATAAAAGCATCATGACTGATATTAAGACTACAGAACTCATGTCACAGAATATTGCTAAAACTAGATGAAGGTTTCTTGCACCTTTCTCTAATCTATCAGGAAATGACCACCATCAGCAGAACTCTACACTAAAACCTCTACGGATTTGACCCAGTAGATCAACTGCTTACTTCCTGACAGCATCACATTGACACTTTCACTCTCAAAGTAATACATCAGAGTTTGCTTTTAATTTAATCACACACTTAAATTTCAACTATAATAATCTACCGAAAGCAACAATTACTTTTTGTTTAGGCTTTACATTTGTAAGAAAACAGTAGATAAGTAACAATCCATTTTCATTCAACTCTATGCAGAATGCTTCAAAAAAATGAACAACTGAGTAAGTCTGATTAATTCCTTTTTATTCACTAAGATAAAAGTCTAGGTTTAAAAGCATTGAAAAACAAAGATCTCTCCTCTTAAACCCCACCTCACAAACTACAAAAAAAGGCCTCATCAGATTAGCCAACCTTCTGGTGAACTATTCAACCAATCCAGACTGTTTTCTCTCCCAAATTCCTACACAATTCCTACCTCCTCTGTAACACTGAAAACAGAAATCAGAGGTGGGAGGGAGAAAAAAAAAAAAAGCTGTTATTCCAAAAAACATGCTAATTTATCATCAAGAGGACAAAGATACACTTACACACTTGGGTTCAGTGCTTCTGTAATGAAACGAGCCACTAACGAGTAATAATCTATTCCAGCATACAGCTGATTGAAAAATCTTGGATGACCTGAAAATACAGATTAAAAGCAGGCAATGACAGAATATACATGAAAAGAGAATATATCACAGACCCTCTTAGTTGAACACTGATCACTGCAAACCACAATTCCCTCCATCATTCAGTATTTTCTGGAGTTACCCTCCTTTTCCTTGGTTAGACAATTATTTGTAAGTAAATTTAATAAGCACTTTCAGGTCCCAAAACAAGGTTTGAGATGTAAGTAGTGCACAGAATGAATGTCAGTTGATCACGTTTTACAAATAAAAAAATTATTTTTTTTAAAAAAGGGATTGATAATTTAGTATACACAGTGGCTTTTAACAGTGGTCTTCAGAGGCCACAATGGATGCTCAGCCAAATTTTGCTTAACAGTAGAATCTGCATCTGTGCCTGTGCTCCCACTGAAACAGGGAGAGGCACAGTATAACAGCTTGGAAAAACCTCATACAGTTTTTGACAAGTTAAGAGAATTTGTTTATCTGCCTTGAAACACTGAGATACAACTAGTTATGAGAAAATTCTATACTCTTGTTAACTACAAAAACAAGTCAGTTCAGTAGTGGGATCACCACCTAAATTTTAATCCACAGCATAGTACTTCTACATTCAAAACCAGGTAAACTGTATTGTTTCATTTATATTATATCTGGGCCTTCAATAAATGTTAAAGACTATTTGCACAGCATATTTTTATATACAGTATCTTTGCTAAGATGACATAGTGTAACAAATTAAAATCTAAAGGCAATTTGAAAAGATAAACAGAACACCTTCCAGTAACTCAGTAATTATATCTGCATATTAGTAGTGTACTCCCCTTGTAGATCAATATTGCTACTTTTCTGTGGTTTCCAAAGGCATGCTTTCTCTCTCAAAATTATTTTATGGTCTTACTTTGTAGCAACAGTGACTGTAGCAGCGAACATGCCCTGGAAATGCACAGCTAACTATATCAAATGTCCTTCTCACTTTCCAAAACACAGTCTAAACTACGCCACATTTGAAATCCTAAACTACTGATCCACAGCGCTATTTCCTGAACAGATGTTGTTCATCCCTTTCCACTAAAACTGAATTAAACTGAAATACACACATGCTGCAGAAAGGTTAGCCATAGAAAACTAATCCTGCAGACATGTGGTATACTGTCTCTGAAATACCGCAGGCTATCTTCTCAGTGTCTGGAATAGAAATTACCTCCTATCAGCAAATTAACACCCTATAAGACTATTGCTCAAAACACCAGGAGTAAATGTAGGGTAATCTTCACTAAGAATGTATGAGGGCAATGATGGAAACTCCACTCCTCACTGCTCAGACAGCAAGGAAATCACATACAAAGGTCCTTCTCCTCCCTGTTTACCTGTCTAGGTAACTTTCACAAGACTTCAAAATGACAGAATCCACCATTGATGTCAATGGCATTACAGGAATTAGTTTTCGATTAGTTTGACATGATTACACACATTTTAGTCAAACCTATGGTGACCAGCATTCAGTCAAACAATGGACATAGGGTCAAATGTTTGCATACTTGTATAGGCAGGCAGTAAACAAATATTCAACCCCCAGTCTCCTGAAAGGTGACAGAACTTTGCAAACATTATCTTGTCTTCCTAAGTTAGCATACAAAATAACTTCACTAGAAATCACATTCTTACTAGTTTTGACGCTATATTGTATAACATCCCGGCAGAGCTGCAAGAGTTTCTGATGAGATTCTCCAGTATCCCTCATTTCCAGGTCAAGAATCTGCTTCAGTGTCTCAGGGGCTTGCCATTCACAAACCTAGAGATGAAGATGAAGGGGAGACACCAGCAGTGAACAGGTTAGCCAAGAGGAAGAAGTTGTAAAGGTACAAGGTAAGCACCACAATCAGCACTGGTTTCACAAAACTGCCCATTGCAGGACAGCATGCCACCAGAAAATATCGCTGGTAAACTGATCTCATTGGATCTTGGTTTTGTTGTGTCTCAGGCACTGCTTGACCATAAAAATTAGAATGGGGAATGCTGGAAGGCAGAAAAACACAAGGCCTGCAGGTCAAATTCTGTCCTTAGGTAAGGATTTGTAATCACAGCATTTTCAGATGCTGTTCTGCCAGGGGATGTGAGCAACCAGAGCACGCCCAATGGCAAGCATGATTCATTTACAGCTCCTCTTCCCATTACAGCCTCTTAAGCAGGGGTTCTACAAAACCCATAGCAATCTCATAATATTGCCCTTTCACAGTGGTACCACATCCACTAGTCCTCCTCCTCCAATACCAGTGCCCCTGAGAAGCAAACAAGTAACTCCCCCCACCCCCAACAAGAAAAACACTACACCCATCTCAAAGAAAGTGAACATTGAACTCTGAGATGAAAAAAGTCATTCTTTTCTGGCAAATATGTATGCTAATTATGTTATTGAAAGGTTTTATAATATGATCTTTCTTAATTTGTAAGGCTGTATTTCTATTTCAGAGCCAGGCACAGACTAGAAACAATTCTGAGGCTACTTAAAATGCAATAAAATACAGCTTAGAAAAAAAATTATTTACTGTTCATTGCAAAACTCTATGGCTTTACCTTTTCTGTTACATCATCAGCTTTCTGGATGACTTCTTCCATTATAATCTTACAGGCCTCTTCCACAAACTTCTCTCCTGCTTTTGAGTCCATTATTGGACCATTTAGGATGACCCCATCCACCAAAACAGCATTCTTCTTCTTCTGGAGCATCTCCTGTTTGCAAATATCAACTGTAAGGTAAATAACTCACCATTAGAGCAAGGTCTGAACAACTAATTTATAAACTAAAAAAACATTATTTCACTGCTGAAGATTTAGTCAACTTAAGGAAAAAATTCAAATGGCCTTTTCATGTGTACAAAAATCCTAGATTTTGGTAGAAGAATCTTTACAGACAAAATACCTAACGTGTTACTTCAAACCTAAATTGTTATTATGTAGGTAATAATAGCCTACTGTATGGTATCTACTGCTTTCTTAGCATACAAAAGCATGCAAGGCACCTTCCAAACACAAAGAAAATCAGTGTTCTGGCCTAGAACATGATACAGCTGGATAAACAGAAATAAAATGCAAGATAATAGACATTTTTCTTAGCTGAAAATGTTTCCCTCCACATGTCATCCCTCCTGCTCCTTGTTTTCATTAAGTCATTTTCAGCTTTATTTTCCATGACTTTATGCTGCTCCTTCCCACCAGCCAGTCCTATTGCTCTGTCTTCTGCATCCTTTGCAAAGCATCTCACTGACCCATGCTCCATGAAGATAAAACCTTTTGAGATTGCTGTCAATATCACATACCTGTACTTCTTTCCTTTCTGCTCTTATGCTATTAAGTGCCCTTGGTCTCTAATTACAGTAATTTGCTGTGCAGATTATCTTGTCTATTCACTTCAGCGATGATCTCTTTCCTCTCCCTCACTTTTATCCATGAGACGTGCTCTTCTGATATGTTCCATAAACACATTGCTACTTCCTCCTCTACATTACTTCTGAAAGCACATCCAAGATGCTTATAAGACACTGGCCAATAGTAGCAACCACGTATCTATTTCATGTATTGATTTCATATGGCAAGATCAGGACTCCAGTTTTAATCAACATGAGGATAAAGACGAAAGTGAGACATCTGGAGATATCAAGGGAACAGACATTTGAAACAGTATAGTGCTGAAAGGAGAAGCCGTAACTACCATATCCAAATTATCTGGGTTAAAGACAACATCTGCCCATTGATCTCGCCTTAGCATAGGTAAGATCTATGAAGCCAGACAGCACTGGCTCGAAGGGTCATCTTCACCTACCACGAGGATGGTAGAAAGGTAAAGGATGTATGAAGGACAAAGTTCTATGCCCAAAACAACTTTATCTTCTGCTTTACCTTTTGCTCCAGTTACAAAGTACAGAAGAAAGGTGCCTTTTTCACAAGTCTAAACAAACAACTGAATTTCCAGAAGACTGTCAGACACTGCAGCCTGACACATTCATCGTGTTTATCATAATTCCAGTTCCTTATGCACAGGAGGATATAGAACAACAACAATGCTGCCTAGAAAGGTGCATGAATTCAGAGTCCATTGATTGAAAGAAACCCTGTCAATCTCATGAGCTTTTATTTACTGACAGCTCAGAGAAGCTCTTCAGTTCATTTTCACTTACCAGGAGAGGTATGACAAGCAAGATAAAATTCTAACATAAGATGGAATCTCAGGTTTCCCATAACACCAATGACAAAAATGAGACCCCCAGTCTTCACATTTCTGAAATAACATTTATTTTTAATCCAAAGGGGCAATATACTAAATTTGGTTAACAGAGTAGCCTTTGGCACATTATTATAGGAGAGGCATAAATGTTCCTGTGGGACAGATACAGAACAAGCAGGTAAACAGTATTACATCTTCAACAGGCAGAGGGAAAACCACAGATGTAAAAAACGTCAATTCTCATCATGCTTCCCAGCACACCACAGCTGAGGCACTGTACAGAAACTGCAGCTTTGAAAAAGCCTTAGAGGTTTCTCTCTGAAAACACAAGCTAGAAGAGGTCAACTTTACAAGACTTAAAATGACAAGTATTAACAATTCCTTGTTAATAAAGGAATTAGAAGGCATCGGGTCTTTGGGCAGACAGAACAGGGACTATTTTTGGATTGAGAGTTAGTTATTTGATACATACATAGCTGCCTTAAGTACTAACCAGAGTTTAACATAAAAACAAAAAATAATTTCAGCCTCAGCATCACTTGGAGATGCTACCATCTCCATGTACATCAAAGGTATTTTGTTTCTACAGAAAAAAAAAAGACAGGATCTAAAAAAAAACCTATATGGGAACTAATATCTATTGCAGAGCGCAGATGTTGCTACTTGGTTTAGTTACAAGAAGAATAGACAGTGGAGCAAGAGAACTCGCTCCCCCCCC